AATAATAAAGTTTTGTATAATAAAGTTTTTTAGAAACTTTATTATACAAAACACAAAATTATAGTTTAAAAATTGAAATAAATATAATAAATATATAAATATAGGAAAAAAAAAACTTTGAAACTCAATCATACAAAACGCAAAATTATAGTACAATAATTGAATATAATATACAAGAATTACACAGATACTCACTTATTTACACATTTCTAAACGCATATTTTATAAAACATATTATTGTTACAATCGTTTATATTTCAGTTTTATTACGATTTGGACCAAGATCAAGAACAAATATGATCAAGATTGTAGTAAAAAAACAAAAACATGTAAACAACAGGTGATTACTCCTATTAGTATTATTATAGTGTTATAGTATTCATCCAGGCTCACGTAATTTTACAATCAAACCTATTTTTATTTCTAAAATTTGACTGTATTTTTAGATATCTTAGCTTGAGAATAACTAGTGGTACAACGTCTGTCTTCTGTTTTCCTTTTTTTGCTACTCTTGCCTAGTTCTTTAAAGTTATTTGTTGGCCTAACCCTCTTTATGCAGAATGGCAATAATTCCTAGTCACTATTTTGTATTAAATTTTTTTGTTCCTGTTTGGTGTTGCGCAACGTTGTTTCAATTTTTAACTAAAGTGTGATAAACTATGCTTTGTTTGTGAGAGTAATTTTTTTTTCTAATACGCGATATTCTAAAAGTTGTGATATTTTATGTGTTTGGTTAATTTTTTCTTCTGCATTAGATCGAAAAACATTCTTCACATCGTTTCTCTTCTTTTTAATAAACCTGATATTAGATAGATATAATCAGAACAACATAAACAAAGCTGAACTATTATTTCCTGCCAATAAATTTTAATGGATATGTTTATACTTCAACAAAAACTTCATTTGGAGAGGCTTTACTTTATATTTCTGATAAACAAATTTATAAATCTAGAAATGATTTACTTATGTATAAAACCCAATTCTTAGAATCTGCGTTTGTAAAATTTCAATTTTCTAAAAAGTCTAATATTATAGTAAGCTTTGTTTATCGTCGTTATGGATGTTAATGAATTTAATGTTTCAAATAAAGCTATTCTATTTAAAAAACTCTCTGTTAAAATGAATAATCCTCTCTTTATAATGATTTTATGATGATTTTAATTTAGATCTTATAAAAGCAAACTCAGATTATTCAATCACGGAGTGTTTAAATATTTTTTAAAACAACATTTATATCCTTACCGACAAGAACAACAAATCTCTCAAATACTTAAGCTATAGTATATTTTCTATTTCAGTTTCTAAAGATATTTTCTCCATCAATTTAACTATTAGAATATCGGATCATTTGCCCCAGTTTCTAATTTATTCATCTTTTCATCTTAAAAAAAGCATATATTACATCTCGTAAAAGCTATATTTTCTTTCGATATTTCTAAAAACTAAATAGTAAAGAATTTAAGAATGCTTTCATGAAAATAAACTGGGATAAAGTGAAAAAAGCTTACAAAAGTAAATCACTAGCTTTAACTCTCTTCTAGACAAACAAGCACTGCTAAAAAAATCATTTGAGTTTATTTTATATTCAATATCGTACTCAGTTTGTTTCAATAAATTGGTTTGAATGCAGAAATAAAGTTATCAAACATGGCGTCCGACAGGGTTCTGTTTTTAGGCCTTTACTATTACAACATTTTATTTAACTTGCTATTTAACTAACGCTAAAAGTTTGTTGTTATTGTTTATTTTAATTACTTTTTTTAACGATTCTTCTATTATTACCGCTGATCTCGTGTTTGTTTTGCTCGGAGAACAACAAATTTTAAAAATGCGCGGACAAAAACAACTTTTTAAAAATAGACAAAAAGTAAAAACAAACTATTTCAAGGGACCCAAGTGTACGTACACAACCTGAAATATCACTAAAGTCAATGACTGAAAATATTGGGCGACTAAGTAGGGGAAAGTAGTCTAAAACGGGCCCCTAAGTTGAGATGGGCTATCAAATCTCTTGCTTGGACTAAAATAATTACAAATTTAACTGTAGAATATTGTTATTTTGATACTTTCTAAATCTTTAACATGTGATCTTTTTATTAGCACAAAAAATTTATGAGAATAGTCTAATAACTTATGTTTTTCACTAAAAATTAATAACACACTCCAGACCGGGTGAAATGGCCCCCGGGCCCAATTCACCGTGCAATTAGCAAGATTTTACGGCAAAATAGTTCAGCTTTGTGTCAGTTAAAAAAAGTTAAATTGGCAATATTATTAAAGGAGTAAAGGCTTTCATTGTTATTTTTATTCGAAAAAGGTGTTTGCAACGACCTCCCTAGCTATTTTTATTTTAATTTAATGTGTTTTTAAACATTTTTTCAAATCTTTTATTCGAGTCATTTATTTATATATATATATATTTGAATATTGATTATAATATGTACATTTTTGTAAAAATATCTAGATCTTACTTACTTATATATTGTATTTAGATTAATTATAGATAGTATAAACTTAATTAAAGATGTGCTGAAGCATTGAACAATAAAAACTAATCTTTACCGCTAAGAGCAATAAAAAAATCGAGGTTTCATTTTTTTTTAATATACTTGAAAAGACCACTTTTAAATTTTGTTGAGCTAAATATTGTATTTATGTTTATTGCAACTATAAAAAGCACTTAAATTTGTTATGTTTTTTGATATTTTTTAAAATTAAACCTATAATCTTTTTAATTTGCACAAGAATAGTTCAAGAGTTGACTCCTCAATTTGGCACATTGTACATTCTGCCTCAATTGAGTTTACTCAGAGGCTCACATTTTAATGCGAACAATGAACAGAAGATTATGTACCATCATGAAATTAGTTACAGTCAATTTTTGTTTAATAACCAGGTTTTATTCAGAAATTAAATAAAGGGCCTATTTTAGGCTACCTCCAGGGTAAAACGGGCCCTTAGCATCTCTTTGTTCAACGGTTATTTCTTAATGTTAGGCAGCTAGTCTGTTATACCTACAAGCAAGGAGGTATAATAGACTAGCGGGAGGGAGATCAAAGTCGAAATTTGTTTAAAATCATGGTATAGTCTTAGTAGAATAATTCAGCAGCAAGTCAAAATGGCGCTTTTGCGTCGAAAATAGAAAATTTTGAAATAGAGTTTGTAATCTTTGAAAGCTGTAATCGAAGATGATAACTCTCTTAAAAGTTGACTAGATAAGTTTTTAAAAACCGTTCGAACTATCAAGAAGAAATCACACAAAAAAATCACGATCTACATAAAGTAAACGTTTATTAATACCATGATACTAGGTACAAATATCAAAGTTTTAGTCAATCTCTACAACTTGTTTAAACCTTATCTTTTGCTTCCCCGTTTAGCAATAGATTCGCTACGTTTTTGAAGAACGTTTTTCCAGTAAGAAACTTATTATGTCTCTCCAGGATTTGATTTTATGTTGTAGAATTTTTGCTGGATTTAAATGTGAATTGCTATATTTCAAATATATAGATATGAAATACCTCTTTGTAAATCCGGCAAAATACTACCTATTTTTATCTAGACATTTTTTAATTCAATTCTTATCAAGAAGTTTATTATTCCTAGTTGAAAAATCACAATATAAAATAAAAATTATATTATATTTGCAATGCTTTGAATCTTTATGACGTTTTAAAATAACATCAGTAGATATTTTTTTTTTTAAATTGGGATGTGATTGCTTTACTTTAAACTATGATAATTATTTTAAACTATGATAATTACTATGATTATTATTCAATTGAAAATTATGTTATTACTAACACGGTCCACATTAACTCGAGGTCTGCATTAACCCTTTACTAAAGCTATTTGAGGCTGAAAGTTATTTGAGGCAGAAAGCTATTTGAAGCTGGACCTGTTTGAGGCTGCTAACCTAGGCTGGCGAATAAACAGTATACAAACAAGGTGGATTTTTAATAATTGATGAGTATGTATTATAGAATAACAAAATGAAGAAGATGGGACCTAGGCTCTTTGCCATTCATTTAACAAATAATATTGATTTGTCCATCCAAGATTCAAAGGTGCATAGAAGTTGGCTGCTTCTTGTGATAAAAGTGTATACTCTATACTGTTTTGTATTTCCACAGATGAGAATACCAGCCAATATTTGTTGTTTTCAAGAAAGAAAATTATCTGAAAAAATTAATAAACGAAAAAAATATTGATTGATTTTAAAGAACTTTTGAAAAATGAGAAATTTTAAATCTACAAAACTAATATATGGAGGCGAGGGACAGGCGGTTTTTATTTGGCATCTTAGAGTAGTTGACTTAATGGAAGTTTTGATTTTATAGGGATGGTTGCAGTGAAATGTATTTACATTGACTTATATTATTTGAGCAGTTTGTCTATAACAAAAAAGTTGAAATTGGAGTTGGATTGGCGATCGTCTGGTGGTGGATTGAGCAGGTCGTCTATAATAATACCTTAATCTACTGTTTAAAAACTAAAGACAGGTATCTTATAGAGATCTAATACCTGATATAGTGAATAGTATATAATAGTGAATAAATGAAATATCTAGAAAATGATCTAGAGAGATTAAAAAAAAAAAGAATGTTAAAAAACCTAAAATTCTCATTAACTTATTTAACAGTTGAATTACGCATTCGAATGGAATTTGAGGAATTTGAGAACGTAAATAGTTAGAGTTAAAATATTTTTTAGAGCTATTTAGTTAACTGAGCCTAATGATTATTTAAGTTTAATCGAATCCAAGAGGGAAAGTTTTGAAGGGAAGTCGATTAGAAGTGTTTAGACAAAAAAATCATTAAAGCAAATTTTAATTTGCAAAACTTTTATCACTCTTCTTGAAGACTATTGGTAATAATAATGCCGTAACTTTAGAATTAAAGAAAAGTTACAATAGTCTATGTAAAGTCAATTCATAAATTTTTGTAAAAAATATAGAAACTATAATGAAAATTTAACTATTGATTAAAAAAAATGCTTACCAAACAAATGTTGGTTATTTTGTATACATATGAAAAGAAATATCCATTTTTTCCATGACATCTTTATTTTTGCGATGGAAATCTAAAACTTAAAAAATTTGACTAGATTTTATAAAGATTTTCTGTTTAAATAAAAAATTACTTTTCAAAAAAATTACTAAAGCAAATTTATAAAACTTTAATTAAAATCTATTATTGATTGCTATATTAAACTTGAAAAAACGTGCACCTACTTCAATTTTTTTTTCTCTCAATAAATAATAATTTTTTAAAAGTTGAAACTTTTGTTTTTGCTTTCAAATATACTTCTTATTTTAAGCTTGTCCATGAAATGTTTAAACGTGAATATGAATTACTCATATTTAATTATTACATAAATTGCATAATTAAAAACTCACAAAAGCTTTAAACAAATAAATTTATAAGCCTATAATGTTTTTAATCCGAGCATAGATTTATAAAATTTAACTTTGGTTTTATGTATTTTCTTTATAAAAATTCAATAACCGTAATAATGACGTTCTTTATTAATCTCCATATGAACGGATCATGCAGTGTTAATATATGCTATATTTTTTATTGCTTTTCGTGCTATATTGTCTTAAAAGTAGGAACGATCTTTTTTTATTGAATGCTTAAACCACATACATTAATTGAGTACTTATATTTTTGTACAAGTAGGCTAAAAACATCTTATTTCCGTTGCATGTATGAAACATAGGTAGTGTGTGACATTTTAAAAAAGTTTTTTTTTAATATTTTTTACAAACAAAAAAATACAAAATAAGTATAACACTTTGAAAATACAAACTTTAAAGCTAAAATGAAAGTATTGAAAAATAAAACCTATAATTTAAATTATGATTACATATTAAAATCATCAATAAATAAGACTTATTTTAGAAGTATATGAGTGAACAAAATTTGTTATAAAGATATAAAGAAATTAAAACTAAACTAGAAGTTAGCCCATAAAGGTACTTTTTTCACCTTTTTAAGCAAAAAATAATTCATTTTATATTTTTTGTCGCCACAACTACATCATTGCAAGATAAGTTTTCTAATAGCCAGATTATTGTTTTCACAATGTCAAGCAAGACAAAACAGAAGCTTTAATGAAAAAACATTTGCGTTACATCTGTTGAGGTTAGTGTGTTGAATAGCATAGAGTCCTGTAACGAGTTGTGAGGTGCGATGTGTTAATTTTCAGCCGATAGTGTCTGATAAGCCCAGTTATGTGTAATTTTGTAGATGGGAATTATGGAATATAGCCAAAATTATAAACAATGATACTTTTATAGAGACGTTTCGACTGATTCTTAAAGAATGCTTGTTTTCTAAAAGTGGTTTGATAAGTTTTTAATTAATAATACTTAATAATGATCTAACATCAAGTTTAACTTTATAATCAAATCGCCCCCTCAGTATTATCTTGTTTTATTAACAAATGTAATAAATACAATGTTCTATCTAATATATAAAACAAATACAAAAAAAAAAAATTATGTTTAAATAAACACAATGTTCTATGTAATATAATATAATATATTATATTAGGTAGAACATTGTATTTATTTATGCATAATTTTTTTTTTGTTGTAATTATTTCATATGTTAGATAGAACATTTTATTTATTACATTTATTAATAAAACAAGATAATACTGAGGGGGCGAAATGACAGTGCTGAAACATAATAAATAAAATACAAATATAGCATACAAATAACTTTTTGTATTTTTACTTGTTTGTATTATTTTATTTTTTATTTTGAAAAATAAAAGTAACATTATGTTTAACAAAGTAAATGTATTAATAATTACAGTAGAATAATATAATACAGTAAAATAATACGTTTACTTTGTTAAACTTAATATGAATAATGCATTAATAATTAATACATTTACTTTGTTAAACATAATATTACTTTTAATTTTCAAAATAAAATATGCAAAAATAAAAACAAGTAAACATATCAAGACCTAGTTGTATGCTATTTGGTTTGCATTATTTATAAATAAAAAAACATATGCAATAGAGTGCAAAAAATTCCTCATATAATTATGAGTAATTTTCAATCAGGTTATACTACATATCCCAAAATCCTTTGCGTTGATATTTACACCATTTTGTTGCGATTTTTTTCAATTGAGGTGTCATTGGTGGTGAAGGGTGGGATGCTGCAAAATTATCGAGAAATATTTTTCAATGCTTCTGAAAATATATAACACTAGAAGAAGTAAGTTTAAGAAAAATCATAACAATTAGGCTCGCAGAGAGGCAAAGAAAATATGCTGACCCAGACGTCAAGATTTTCGCCTCCTTCCTTACCGATTTAACAAAAGTTGACCCGAGGTTTGTTGAACCACGAATCTCTAACTTCTGAGGCAAGCGCGCCAACCACTGCACTACGGTTGCTCATAGACAGATGACGGGATAATTTAATAGAATTGTACGAAAACTAGAAAATATAAAACTTAATTTAATTTTTTTTTTCCACAACAACACTAACGTTAAATTCACATAAGACTTTTTTAGACTGATTTATTGAGTGTTTTTAAAATTAATTGTATCTTTAATGCGTAGTTCATATAGGTTTAAATATGGTTTAAAAAAAGGTTTAAGTTTATTTTGAAAAAAAATAAATTTCTAATAGTTAAGATTTTTGGTATTCAACAATAAATCTTAGTTTTGTTTTTATTTCTTTTGTAAGAAATTTTTAAATTATGAGAACTACTTTTTTATCAACTGGGTCCGAAAATTTTATTTTTACATTTTTACGCATATAGACATAAATAAACCCGCATTGTTTAATTAATTTATTATACTATTGATTGAGTTAAATAGAGTTATAGAAATATTTTAAATATTGGAGTTAATTGTAATTTTTTTTTTTTTTACATTTTTAAAGAGTTCTGTTTGTTAACAAGAAATAAGTGCTTACAATAAGAAATGAACAATTTTGCAAAGCAAGTTACAGCTCCATTTTAAAAAGTTACATTCCATTTTAAAGAATGTAAATAAGAAAGCAATAGATTAGGATAGTCTTTTAAATTGAAAAAAACTTCCAAAACATTACTGCTTACAACATATGAAGTAAGTATGCATGCAGAGTTCAATACATAACGTAGTTAATGATTAAAAGTTCAAACAAGGATATTACTCACGCCTAGCATTGCACTTAATACATAGAAAGACATATTTGTAACAGTAGCAGTAACCAGTGCCGCATTTGTGACTACAGCGACTACAACCTTAGGCCTATGAATATTCGTCACCCTATAACTGTCAATAGAAGTTAAAACAATACATATCTACAGTAAATACTAACTGTTTTTATAACTATCTTTTTATTTATTTATTGATTTAATAGAAAGCAAAAACTTACTGTAAAAGTAGTAATATGATAATAAATACAACTCTATTACGCAACGTGAAGAAAATTAAATTATCTAACGTGAGTTTTAGAGCAAAGGCTTCTTGATTAAAGACATGCGTACCTAGGTACGCATGTCTTTTATCAAGAAGCCTTTGCGTATGCATGTCTTTAATTAAGAAGCCTTTGCTATAAAACTAACGTTACATAATTTAATTTTCTTTACGTTGCGTAATAGAGTTGTTTTTATTATTATATTACTACCTTTCCTTACGAATACATTTTTGTTATTATATTACTGTATTATTATTATTCAAGGCTGACGACACTGAGGGGGCCAGGGAGCACGTGTCCCCACCCACTTTTTTTTCTAAATGACTTTTTTCACAAATTGATGATTTTGCCCCCCTCCGCCCACTTAAAAACCCGTGTCGTCGGCCCTGTTATTATTATATTAATGTATAATTATATTATTATATTTACTATTTACTTATTATATTATTATTTTTTATTATATTATTGATTACGTTTTTATTACTATATTACTACTTTTCAAAAAAAAAAAAATTGTATATTTAACTTATTACTTTTATTTATATATATTTTTATTTATATATACTTAGTATATTCAAGTATTTTTTTTTTAATGTATATTTTAGGGTGTTTTGTATATTAAGTTGCTTATGAGTTTTTTCTAATGTATAGCACATTTTCTGCTTCCATGATTGTTTTAAACTCTCTGGACGTGTTTGAATCAAGTACTAATAGTATATAAAAATAATTTTTTGATCTTAGATACTATTTTACAAGTAATACAGTATTATCAACTCATGATCTATTAGAAAGTCTATAACCAAAGATGACAAAAGTTTTACCAATATTTAAAGCTAGAGATTTATTTGCATTAAGTAATAACAACTTTCAATTCTTTTTCGAAGCTACTTGAAAGAATATTTTACAATAGACTCTGGTTGGTTTTTATTACAATTATATACAATATTTGCAAAAAAAGTATCTTTTATATATGCTTTAGCAGCTGTGGCGCAGTGGTAGCGCACTTGCCTCAGAAACAAAGGATCCGTTGTTCAAACCCCACCTCTGGGAAAATTTTGCAACATCGTTTAGGAAGGAGGCGTAAACTTCCAATTAAATGCTCATTTGCGGTGCTCTGTGATAAGACTGTAAGGACTTCCTAGGGCTAAATAAAAACAGTTAAAAAGAGATGTCAGAAAATATTAGGCAAGAGAGGTAAAAACCTAAATTAAAAAATTAAAATAAAAAAAAATGACCATGGCAATAAGAATTTTGATCTTTTTATTTTAACAGTATTAATGTAGTCTATCTGAGAAGCAACAATTGTGCAATAAAAAGATTTTGATGCCCTGACGACTCTCTAATCCATTAGTTGAGTTTTAGTGATGTGGTAAACTTTTTTTTTTCTTTCCTTTAAATTTATCTATGATTTTTTTTTCCCTTTAAAAACTTTTATCAAAACTGCTTTTTTTTCTTTTTCGATTCTATTATTTTTCTCTATAAATCTCAAATCCGTCCTTGAATGAAATACTTTTACCATATCTGGGGCGGTTCAACGATGCCCTTTTTCATTTAGACAAGGTGCAAAAACGCATTGTAAACATAGTTAAACCTGCTTTTACAGCCAATCTCCAACCATTATCACATTGTCGTAATGTTGCTTTTCTTTCTCTTTTCTACAAATACTATAACGGGAACTCCTCTAAAGAGCTAGTGTCTCTTGTGCCATCTACTAAAACTCATTCTCGTGTTACTCTCATTCAATTAAGTCGCATCCTTTTACTGTGACTGTTCCTTTGTGCTTCAAAAATTCTTATTTGTCTATTTTTTTTTCTCGAACATCAGTTTTTTGGAGTTTGCTTTCTTCATCTTGTTTTCCTGATTCATATAATTTGCAATCTTTCAAGTTGTCTGTCAATCGTTATC